GTTAAGTCTTCAGAGCTTTGTAAGTTGTCTGTTATTTTTTTACAATAAAGTTCCATTTCATCTAAACTGAATATCTGCAAAGGCAAATAACCACCTTTCTAGGAGAAAGTGGGAAAAGATGTCTCAAGAATATATGACGCACACCAGAAACTTTTCCGCCTTCCCGCAGTTGCAAGGATCTTCCAGGACAGACTCATGGATAGGTTTCTTCATATAGGCAAAAGTTTGCAATTTGAAAATTCTTAAATAGACTAATATTTGTATAGTCTCATCTGTAATTTGTCGAACTCAGTATTATCTATACCAGTGGGTGGGCCGTGAGAAAATTTTGGTGGGCCGCAGAGAAATTTCACCCTCAGAGCACCCCCTCCCCAAAGCAATTAATCCAGGCTGCGCAGAAACACAAGGCTGGGCCGTCCATATGGCCCGTAGGAATACTCCCCGCCCACTCACTCCTTACCTGGCAAACTTGCCTACTAAAATTGGTATTTTCCTTTTTCCGACCATCATCTGTTCTGCTTGGGAGATTTAGATTAGCTAGTAAGCAGGAAATGGTTGGATTTCTTGCTTTCTAGCTAGTCTTTAGATCTTCGGCTCTGCTTTAAGTACAGCTGAACCTTCCTTAGGACTGAAGGTTTGCTTGCAAGCAAATTCAGTGCAGACTCACGGCAAGCAAATTTGAGAGACTGAGCTAGCCGATGGCAGATAGATAGATCACAGAATGATTCTGTGAGCAACTCAATCTGCCTGCTTTGCCTGATTTTGGGTAAAAAAATGCTCTTTTTTATATAAAAGATTCAATATTTACATACATTGTTTGTTGTGAGTTAATTTTGTGAGTTTGCTTGTAAGCAAATTTTATGTGACAGACTGAGCTAGCCGATGGCAGATAGATAGATCTCATAAATGCATCTATGATTCTGTGAGCAACTCAATCTACCTGCCTGCTTTGCCTGGTTTTGGGTAAAAGTTGCTCTTTTTCTATAAAAAAATCAATATTTATATAAATATAATATTTACATACAAGCCATGCCCAGCCAGTCACATGACCACCAAGCCACACCCACAAATTAGGCCACGCCTGCAGAACCAGTTAGTGGTCCCTGGAATCTAAAATTATGAGTTTGGTGGTCCCTGAAGTCCAAAAGGTTGGCGACCCCTGATCTATACTGTCATTTGTTTATCAGGCTCAGAAACAAATCCTTCATAGCTTGTAAGAATGCTGCTGCTGAGGAACAAGGTTTTTGGAATTAGAAGAACATGACTTAAGATTTGGGTGGTATGGATATCTATGGCATGATAAAACTAGTGTAGATTTTAAAAATCATCTTGTTAGACATGTTATATTGATAAAATGGAACAGATATACACCTATGTGGTGCTTGCACAGAAACATTTTACAGAAAAGAAATGATGCCTAAACATGAATGGTTAACTTACTCTAATATATTAGCATTTGGTCAAGTAGAATGTAAAATAAAATGAAGACAAGAGTTGATAGTAGAAAGATATTCAGGTTTATGTAGAACTATCAGAAATATTTAAACTAGATAAACTAATTTGGAGTTTTAAGACTGAATTTGAAATGGAATTGTGTAAAAATATGAGTACTGTATGTCACTGCTATAATGCATAAGCTTTTATTGAAATAAAATATGATAAAATGGGCTAAAACCTTTGGTTACAATATATAAATGGATCATGGGAAAGTATGTTGTTCAAATGATTGAAATTTACATTGTTACAGTCTTAAAGATTATTTTGATAAAATGTTACACTGATGCACAACACCAGAAAAATTGCTTAGAATGTATATATAAAGGTTCTTCAAATTTATGCTAGAAATTTAATAAAAAAGAGAGGTTGGTGGACAGTATAAAAAGGTGGAAAATTCTGGACTGAATTACATATAATAGTTAAAGATTAATATACAATTAAAACTAGAAGCTTTTCTTTTGGAACCAATGGATAACCAACTGGAAAAAAATCATTGGAACTTTCTTTTTGTAACTGCAGTGAGACTATTATTACGTAGAAAGATTTGGTTTTACCTACAAGAAAGCAATGAATGGGGAACTTGATTAAACTTGCTGAGAGTGCCAGCTTTAACTAGAGAAAGAATACTGTCTTAAGTTGATTAGAATCTCTTTACTGACTTTTTGCAGGAAACAAAAAAAATTAAATGATGGTATATGGTCCTAATGATTTTTTTTTTAAAAAAAATGATAATAGAAAATATGTAAATAATGATGTAACCATAGCTCAAGAGGTCAATTTATATCTAGTTATAACTATAAGATAATTGGAAGTAACTTCTTTATAATCTTTTTTCCTTGTCTTTGAGTTCTGAATTTTTGTCTTTGTTCTTTTCTTATTTTTATCCTTCTTTTTTCCTTTCTAAATATTAGTTCTTGTTAGTTTTTAATGTTTTGTTTTAAAAATTTAATAAAGGTACATAAAAGGAAATGTTACTTTTTAATTCTGCCATTAGAATTTGGATGGATAACTGGTGATCCTAGAACAGATTTCAAAATCTCTTTAGTCCAGGAAGAATAATCTGATAATTTATTGGCAATTGTCCAGAAAAATATTGGGGAATAATGGTTGAAGGAAGAAAATATGTCAAAAAGAAAAGGAAGACTCTTGTTTCACCATTTCAGAGTCAAAACCCCTTTTTCCTATCAGGAACACAGCTTCTGACAAAGTGACATTGACAAAAATACAGTAATCTAAGGGGAAGAAAATTCCACGTTTGTTACCTAGACTATTCTGAGAATGCATCAAAATGCTGTTTGTAAAATGTAAACATTACACTAACATCATCAAACATTTTAAAGTATGTGATACACATACATTGTGGACAGAAATCTGAACGTAAAGTTAGCTTATTTACAGAATATTATGTTCTGAAACTTTCCCAATAATTTCTGAAAAAGCAAACCAGGCATTAAGTAGTGAGAGTTATTAATTTATTGCAGATAATAGTAAGAGATATTATGCAAAGGAATCTGCTTCAACAGGAATCTATTTAGCCTTCTGCTGGACAGCCTGCCAAACTCTGTTCTGCCAGGGACAGAAAGAGATGTTTCATTGTTTTGGTTGTCTATGGCTCTCAAACTTAACAAAACTTATTCAAGATGAAAATAATCATATCAGACAAATACTTATTCTCAACAAATCAAATGGTATCCTGAGTGTTTGGGGCTTACCATAAGAATCTAGATGCACTGCTGGATCAGACTAAAATGGATTTATCATATGGAATGATATGTAATACATAAGTAATTCATTAATATCAATTATTTTCAAAATAAAATATATACTCCCACCAATGTCCTAAGATAGCCATTCAAGGCTCTGCTCTGGATGCACTCTGATACGATGAAGGAAGCACCTATCCATGAGTGATCCTTCTCAATGACAGCCACCACACATTATACTTCCAAACATATCAGTCTTTTAGAACTATGTTTGGCAACAGATTTTAGTATCTTTTCTTGTAGGCCATTAAAACAGTTATATGATGTTGCTGTTCAATCCATGTTTTGAACTTCTTTCAGAATGATATTTGTATATTTAATGATCAGTGCTGCATATTGTTTTAGTGTTTTTCAATCTAAATGGCTTTTTTCTGCTTTTAAAGTTTACACATATTTGAAGTTCACTGAATTTTATTCTTGTTTTATGTGGGTTATATACAATAAATCACTTGAGATCATTCTGTTATATAATGGCTAACACACTGAATGAATAAAGAACTACATTAAGATGATATTCACCTTTGCACTTTCCCTATCATAACCAAGTATCCTGGCAAGGCCATATGAATGAAAAATTAAGCTGTTATCATCCTATATGATTAAAAAAATAAATTTATGCTACATGCAACCTTTCAATCTGTTTCTTGCCTTTACAATCCTAAAACAATATTAAGTTCTTTAAAAGAACACAGTACAAAAATTCAGTATCTATCTCTTCACACTGGAGATTGTACCCAAGACATCAGAGTAAATACTGCTTTTCTAAATGTCTACAAAGATTCTCAGTCATCCAGGTTATGGTTATCCCAAAGGTGTCTTTTCAAGAGGCAACTGAACTTTCAAGGTTGTCTTTGAGGACGTTTTGCTCCTCATCCAAGAAGCTTCTTCTGAAGAGTTGAAGTAGCTTCTTGGATGAGAAGCAAAACATCTTCAAAGAAAACAAGTCAGATTGCCTTTTGAAAAAGCACCTTTGGGACTACTTCTTTTCTACTTTCTGAAAAATCAAAATATTGGCCTTACAACACTTTAGACCTTTCTGACATATCTGTCATTGTATATGCCAATACAATTAAAATATATCACAGAATTATGAATATATATTATTTCCTGAATAATCATACCCTCAGGACAATAATTTACTGTCCATAAATTTACTTGTGCAAGACAGTACTGATTCTTTGACATCTGAGAAGAAAAATGCCTCATTTGAAAAAATAAGGGCCTATTACAATCCTGTATCCATTGATACTGGCACTTCCCCAAATAATACAAATATATGAAAACTGTACAGACTGGCATATTTTTCTTAGTAAAAAAGAGAGGAAGAGAACATTCTTTTGAAAATAACACTCTCTTAATCGCAAGTCACATACAGGTAGCCCTTGACTTATGACTGTAATAGTGTCTGCCCATTACAGTCACAAGTTGTGATGGCTATAAATCAGATCACTAATGTGACTGACCCAATTTTATGATATTTGTAATGGTTGTTAAGCAAAGCAATGATTTGCTATCGGCTGATTTTGCCAAAAATTGGAAGTAAAAGCTGTTATAAAACATGGTCATGGGAACATGGGATGCTGCAAATGCCTGCAAGTGCAGGCCAACTATTGAGCACCTGAAATGTGGTCACATAATGGAAGGGCCCTGGAACTTCAAAACTGGGTTATAAGTATCCACAGTGTGATCTGTCATAACTTCAGGTGGTTGGTGAGAGACCAATAGTAAGTCGAGGACTACCTGTTGTAGAAAGCCATTGGAGTCCCTGGCTCCTATTAGAAGAGAATACGTTCAGATGCAGGTTCTTCTCTTGGCACTTTCAAGTATGAGAATGCAGACCACAGTAATACAAAAAAATGGAACTCTAGATTGTGATAGCCATTTCTGTAAAAGAATTAATCAAAAAAGATTAATAAGAAATGTGTTAGAAGAATTAGTATACTTAGAGAAGCAGAAAAAACTTATAATAAATAGCTTAGTGGAAATATAAAATACAACCCTAAAGATAGATTTAGCATGCACTAAAACTTTGACAGTGATTACAGATAATTGGAGAAGAAAGCAGAAAAGGATGCAGGTATAACTGAATGCATTATATTACAGAATATCCTTGAAGTAAACAAGCTGGGTTGGAAAAAAATCTTTAAAAAGGAACAAGATTTTGTTTTCTGTTTTTTCAACTTTACAAACTAAAATGTTTCATTCCTTCAAAATCTTCTATTAGTATAGAATGGTGTTTTCTTAACTCATACACTATTTACCTCAACAATTCCACCATATTTTCCATCATAGTTCCTCTTTTAAACTTTTCCTTTACCATTTCATTTTCCTTGTTAGAATAGTTGTCCTGACTATTTTTCTGTTTTATTGTCCAAAAGACAGAAAAACAACCAAATCAACTGTATTCCATGGAAGCATGAATAGCAAATAGCATTGCATTGTTCTTCTATCCCTCCTATGTGGTATATATCTATTCATTGTATTTAGGGCCAATCAGAAATTCAATGTTTTGTTTTGCAGTAAAGCTCAGGAGAACTTTTGAAGCAGCTATAGATGATATCCAGAACTGTATTAACTTCAAACAAAAAGTATTTCTGGCAATTAATTATTAACTAAAAAGTTAATAATTTCTCTTTGATATACTCACCATGAAGAACTGTTTCTCTATGCTTTCCTGGAAAGTTAGGTATGATTAGCATAACATACAAATATTCTTAAGAGCCTTTTGTGAGTCTTCCAAAAGCTTTTGCAATAGATGATTCAATGAGCTTGAATGTGCATAGCAAAAAAGATATATGAGCTAGGCAATCTATGTATCAATGGTTTCATTTAAACAAAATGCTAAATTAGGATATAATGGCACCAGAGCTCTGTGGGCACCAGAAATATCTGTGCTGAGAAGCTCTGAATGATTTAGTTTGGTTCTATCCATCCATACATCCATTCGTCCGTCCATCTCTAATTGGTCGCCCCACCACAGGATAACTCTGGGAAGCTTAGTACTGGGATAGGAGTAATAATTAGTAAATTGGTTAGTATTGGGATGGGAGACATCTGGGAATACAAAGACTGTAAGCTAACCTGGGAATTTGAAACACAAATCAAAGGAAGATATTTGTAGCTCAAGGTTGAAATGAGAGGTTCTTGGTACTTTCTGAGCTTGCTTGTTTTCTTCCACATGTTTCATTCAAACTAGATAACAACATCAGTGCTAGTAAGGAGTGTGGTTTGCTGTCAGTTTATATTTTAATGGCTTGCACTGTCAGTGTTGGTGGGGGTGGTCTTAGAGATTCTTTGATTGGGCTGTTTACTGTTGGCTTCTCTGGCAATTTCTTGATTGGGGTATTGCTTACTTGATTGTTGTACTGATGATGTTACCTAATTTGATAAGTTAGGTAACAACTACAAGAAAACAAGCAATCTCAGAGAGCACCAAGGATCACTCAAACCAAGTCACAAGACTAGCACAGACCAGCATAATTTGAAACATCTCCCAGAAGACAATGGCAAACACTACCTTGACTTATATATAGCATTACAAAAACAAATATTAAGGTGCATCAGCACAAATAAAATAAAATTAAAATTCAGGAGTAATCTCATGTAAAAGATATTCCTACTGAAATGTAACTATGCATACCTGAATCTTTGAACTGAGTCCTCAGTAGAGAGGAAGGAAAGAGAGGCTGTTGAATCAATGAGTTCCTTTTTGCCAGAAAAATTGAGGCACATTGGTGTTAAAGATTGGAGACAGAGAACATAGCAAGAATATCAAAATCCAAGCAGAAGTTTCTTGGAAATTACAACTGCTTTGAGAATTTCCCTTGAAGACTTAAACTCCTTTAGCAGTTAATAAATTAGTGACTTTAGATTATCCTCTTCCTACATAAAAGCCTCTGTTCAAGAACAAAGATGTTATAGAAACGAAATCTGTACATTTTGTACTTTATGATCAAGCATCTTGCATCCTGTGCCATGACTCACTAAGTCCTTGGGCGTTCAACTTGACCTTGTTTCTCTTTGCATCCTTCAGAATTTAATCTGGTTTATTTCTTGTTTTAGATTACTCAATTGCCTTTTGACTACCTCTCGGTTTGATCCATAGATTGCAAATAAACATAGTACTGGGCAAGATTTTTCAAGAGAGATAATTCTGATAGGATAAACACCTGGAGAAATTAGCTTTCCCATCTCTAATAAATCAAAACAATATTAGATAGCAATTTTTAACTCTCTCCATCATCACAAATAATTACATCCATCTTCAGAAGCTGAGAAAGACAGGTATTTAATAGCCATAGCAGACCCAACCTTCTCAATTGCAACTACAGTAGAGACCTTGCCTGGACTCAACCTAGATATTAACCTATTAGTTTACTTATATTGACAAAAAATTCTGTTAATCCAGTATTAATAATTTACATCTATTAGAACTACTTCATGACTATCAGACCTATCTCCCCATTTGATATTTTGAAATCTGATAGTCATCCATTTTATCAAATGGAACATACTTAATCTGTAGTAAACATATGATCTGTTTATCTGTGATCTAGTTCTGAATGGTTATTTACCTATTATTAACCAATAGCACTTACAAGCTCAAAGGGAAGCAATCTACTGTTACAACAGATCATGTGAAAAAAGATGTGAAAATAAAACAATAGTGAAATGAATAACTTCTTCCTATATGATACATAGAATGGAAAAACACACATCAACCAGGCCGCACAAGCGGCAGGCTGGCATCAAGCTGCATGCATATGCATCGGCTCACCACTCGTGGCCCAGTTCTAAATAGGCCATGGCCCAGTACTGGGCCGCAGCCTGGTGGTTGTGGGGACCCCTACTCTAGACCTTCTCTAATAAAAAGATAGTCAAAGCATACAAGAAGTTACAAAACAAAACCCAACTCTCCCACTCATTGATTGGATCCATGCCTTACCTAGCTCCTTTAGGGAGTGTGGGTGATCTTTGGCATGTGTCTAGATAGACTTGATTCATAGATTCATACTTTTGGGGGAGAGGTGGTGGTAGCAGCTGCCTTGAAGATGTGCTTACTCCTGAAGAGGTCATTTCTAAATCCAACCTTATCAGGCAATTTCTGCCCAGACTCTAATCTCCCCTTTCTGGGGATATTTGAGGGAAATTGGAAGAATGTCAACTGCATACAACCCTAGATTTTTTTTAAAATCTAGGATTCAGTCAGGGCATTGGCTGGAAACCTAGGGGAGAAACCCGGAAGGGAGATACAAGGAGGAACTGGATGGAGGGAGTTCACCCTTCCTGATCTTATTAGACAACTCAGTGGCATTCACACATCTACAATGGACTACTGTAAGGATTGGGGGTGGCAAACATGATGGTCCTTTCATTTCTGAATGAGTAGTTTAGGATGGAAGTTATGAACAGGTGAACCCATGACTGCTGCAATTTGGGATGCCACAGGACTCAGCAATCTCTTTTTATTTAAACTGAAGGGAGAGGTTATCCATTAATTTAAGGTATTGTATCAATATGCTGATAATAACCCAGTACATTTCCTTGCAAGCCTTATGGAGATGCAGAGTAGCCTTTCGTGTTTTTGAGGAGTTGGATGGATCAAACAAGCTAAAACTGAATCCCAAAATATTGCAGGTACTGTTCATGTATGAACTATTTGACTATGTTTGACTCTGTTTCAGTTTCTATATTGGTTCTGCACTTCCCCGAAGCAGCCAATCTGAGATTCAGGAGATGTAATTCTATACTAGCTTCACCAAGAATATAAGCTCTTGAGTATGTGAATATGTATCAATTAATTCATATAATGGGCAGAAAAGACAATTCCAAATATGTATCTTACTATGGTCCCAGAAAACAAGTGTCCACCAAAGACCATCTATGCAGAATCAAGAATGTAGCAGACCCAAACAACGTTAGATTATTGAATGTAATCTTTCACTCAATAATTGCTCACAGTAAAGAATTATTTGCAATTATTTGCAAAATAAGAACAGACACCCGATTATAATTACTAATAAAATAATATTACAAGCTGTCCCCAAATTGCTTTGGATAGCATATAAATTATTGCATAAATAACTTAGACCCAAGCACTTTCTATTAAACTTCTAATTACATTTGCCTGAAATTATTGTTCTTTTCTGCCAGATCAGAAGAAGAAGCTGCCAAATTTGTTTCAAATTAAGATTGGCATAAGAAATTTTAAGATTTATTTTAAGTATACATATCTGCCAAACCATTGTTGACTGTACTAGGTGTTTTCTAGTTTATCGGAGAAACAATATGTAATTTGCTTTGAAATTAATATAGAATATTAACTAAAAGGTGATCTGTATCTCGCTTGAGTTGAAAATTAATTTTATGCTTCTAATATGTATGTTAGAATGGAAGCTATATCGAACTAAGTATCTGATGCATTCATGTGAACCTCTACGAAATTAAGCCACATTATACATTGTAGCTCACTAAACAAAGAAAATGAATGATGCAATGAAGAGAACAGAAGAAATTGCCTTGAAGGACAGGAAGACAGCTGCAGCTGTCAAGTAAAAGAGTCCTGAGTCTAGAGCAAGAGATGTTCTTAGTAAACATCTCAAATGCCCCTCACACTAGTTTTCACCAAAATGAAGGGAGGATGGGGAGAAGTGCATTCATACTTTCAAGATTCTTTTACTATTGTTTTACAATCAAGTAGTATTGAACCTGACACACAGCAAGGAATTTAACAAAGAATCTAACTTTATTTTACAGGTGGTTCTTTGATAAAGACCACATTTTTAGCAACTGATCAAATTTGTGAGGCACTGAATGAGTGGCACAATAATAGAAACCTAAAAGAGTTCTATCTATTGCAAAGTCCCTGTAGATATGTGATAACTATCTCTGTGCTCTACACCTGGCTTGTGATTTTGATGTTGCAGCAACCTGCCATCACATGGTCACTATTTGTGATTTTGTTTGCTGGCTCCTGACAAATAAAGTCAATGGGAAAGCCAGCAGGAAGTGGTCTGGCAACCATGCGATACTCTTGCTTAATGATCTGTGATGATTTGCTTAATGAAGGCAACCATGCTTGCTGAAATTGCCATTTCTAGGTGGTGCAGTCAAATGACATCAAACTTTACAATGTTGTTAGTGATGGGAATTCTAGTCCCAATTGCTGTTGTTAATCAAGGACTACTTGTATATTTGGTTACTTCTTGAAGAGAGAAATCTAATTTATATCCTGTTGGATCTATCACTGATGACTTCTGCAAAGTGAATTTAAAATATATAAAAATATTTATATAAGGATCTAATTTCTAATCTCTGGTCTACTTTCAGTAAATTGATTCACAAAAACTGAAGTAATACAAAGAAGAAAATTTAGTTTTTGACTATTGTAACACTATGAAATACGGTAAAATAAATTGATTAAATAAAAACAAGCACCAAATCTGGTATTTAAACAATATGCAGCTAGAAAGATTTTTGAAATTTTGGTACCCTAGGATCTGCAATGAAAGAGGTCTATTGTATCCCTGATGTGTGTGTGTGTGTGTGTGTGTGTGTGTGTGTGTGTGTGTGTGTGTTTGGGGGGCGGAACAGCTAGACAATAGAAAAAAATCAGCAAACAAAATTATGTAGAGTATATTTCTCCTTTACTGATACAAGAGCCTTCTACCAATAATCAATAATATTTCATGAAATATTCTTTCTAAATTCAGATTAATAAGATTCATTAAGCCATATTTTAGTATGATCACACAAGAATCCCAACAAGCATTTCTGGTTTCATATGTGAACTTTACATTTAGATCATTCAAAATAATTGGCTCCTTTCATTGTCCTGTCCTTTCAAAGATGGGAGGAGTTTATCTCTTCTGAGACATCTATTATTGCTCATGTAAGGGCTGCTTGCACCATCTGTGTGAGAGTCTCCATAATGAAATCAAAGTCTTAAATTCAAGAAGTACTTCATCTAGATTATAGCAGTAAACTATATAAAAGTAACCTTAGAGAAACTGTTGCTGAACCATGCCTGAAGTTTATCTATGTAACAGAATAACAGCACAATTGAAGAAGTTAACTCCAGAGATCTAGTATTTATAACATTCTGAAGCAATCTAGAAGCTTCATTCTGTATGCCAATCACTGGGACTGTTTTGCATGCTCCTTTTTCCTCTTATTTGGCCTTTGAGCCAATGTCTCACCTTATACAGCATAACCTAATTTATTACATGTAAGAATTCTTAAAGAAGCTTAATACATGCTCCCACATAAAATCCATTAAACACAATGGAATTTATTTCAGAATAGGACTCTGTTACAAGGCCTATAACACAGACTCAGATCATGAAATTCTTGGTTCTCTAGAAAACTTCATTTTTACTATTCTCCAACAGAATATTCTCACCAATAAAAAGGCGTAAACAGTTAAATTGAATTGTGGAAACTTGGCACAGTTCTTTTCTGTGCTCCTAATCATTTTGTTCTGTTGAGGAGTCCTCTGCTTCTGCCCCCTCATCCACCTCTTCCATGGAGATATTCATAACTCATTATATTTACAGCTATTGACAGTTACACCTAGCAACCATTTTCTGTACATCAAATAGTTATCGGTTTCAAGCTACGTTCTTTCAAAGCCAATTTAGCTTCTATTTAGTTTTATCACATGCCTGTTTCTTTTAAAGGGCATCCCACTTCTTTTTTAAAGCTTATGATAAAGATAACTAGTGAGAAGTGACATGTGCCATTTTCATATATGAAACCCAAAGCTTCTATGGTCTAGAAGTATTCATATTCTAAAATAAAGTAGAAACCTGGCAATAGTAAACTGAGAACTGAGAAACTAAGAGCATAGATGCTCCACTTGATTTTCACCAAAAAGCTAAGAATTATAGATTGGATGTTGACATTGAGGCTCATGTATATTTAATTCTATGGAAGAATTCTACTTTAAAAACAAGTTGAAAAATACTATTGGAGGAAATTATGGGTATGATCTGGAAGTTACTTTAAATCAATTACTTTGTAATAATAATTGTAAGGATTTTCTTTGACTTACGATTAACATTCATTTGCCTAATTCATAATAATGGCACTAGTATTAAATAGTGGAAATTAATTAGAACACCAGGAAGCAGTTTATGAAGTAGCCACACAGGACCTTAAAAATGGTACAGCTTCCTTAAAGTTGCTTCATAGATAGCATAGATATAATACTTGTTGTACACAATGGTGCTAAAGGTTTTATAGTAAAAGTGCATTATGGCCCCAGGAATATAGATGTTTCTACAGAGATTTGAAGGCAACCTTCAAACCCTTCTCTAATTGTTATCATGCTGTAAAGTTTCAGTCACCAAGGGAAAACTCATTAAATATCTGGCCTTAATCATACAAATATAATTAATTTCAGTTACATTTAAATGAAATTGTACTGATTTCATTGTCTTTAAATTGTCTTTATTTCAACTCTACCCACTTTTTAGAATATGGCTCCAGAGTGGCTAAGCAAAGGCACACAACTTCAGTATGAAAAAAAGTTGTACAGTTCTAAACTAGAAACTTCTAAGACTATGGAGTCAGATTGAAAGGACTATACATTTTATTTTAAATTTGAAGATTTACAAGATTTTAAAAGTAGTTTTTCTTGAATAATAAATCCTGTCAAGGATATTCCAACAATGTGGCTTGAAGGAAGAATATGAAGCATTAGCAGATAGGTAGG